AATGGAAATGTAGGCATTTTACAAGGTAGTAGTAATAATCTTATAGCAAGGTAACTTAATTATTTTAATGATTTTTATTGTAACAGAATGTAAATTAATCCTCCTAATCTCCCCATGATAATCAACATTATCTAATTATATGTTCAACGCTATGAAAGCATGGAGTTTTTCAAATGTACCTTTAATGAACAACAAGGATTGTATCTGTTCCTAAATCACAATGCTCTCCCACCCTGTGGGTTTTAGTTACTATACAAATCTGTAACATGCAGGAACTATTGTTTTACAGAAAAACATATAATTTCATATCAGGGAATTCAATGCCTCCAATTATGGTCTTGTTTTGTGTTGCTCATCAAAATACATTGTTACTTTGTGAGTTCTTCGAGTGGTCTTTATTTAACCAGATAAACACGTGTTAAATGGACACGGTCTGCTGTAAATCACAACAACTCAATTTTTACCTGATGCTTCGTTGTTGGACTAATGGCACTGAATGACAAAAGCACATCTTCTTTGTCTAATGAAATATTGATGTGTGAGGTTTCATGAAGTTCTTTTCATGAGGCTCTTAATGTTCCCAGGCTCGTTTTTGCCTTAAGTATGTTTTCGAGACCTCTTATGGATCAATGGATGGTGAAGATTCACCATACAATTGTGTCACTGTAAAGAGGAGTTAACATGCGGGAAGTGGGGCAATGTAAAGGTATAGTGGATGATGTTCTTTTTCCAGATGGATCCTCTAAATAAGTGGTCCTCCTAACTGTCAATCATTCTGGCGATATGTTTAGGTAAGGCCGTCCTTAGTGCTCGTCCCCGTTTTCACTTACCAGTGGTGAGTCTGGCGTAGTAGAAAAATTGCAGATCTTCTTTTAGAAAGAAAGCTTGTATGATTGATGCAAACAACAACTTTTAAACAGAGCATGCAAGAAGAGAAATGGGGCCATCAATATTCTCGCACGCATTTAATAGGAGTTCCCTCTCTGAAGCGGATACAGGGTTGAGCATGTGCATTTTTTTCTAAAAGTGGAGAGGGCAGGTCTTTTAAAAAGATTGTGAAAATCCTTCACTATACCGTACCTTTAAGTGTTAATACCATGTGTTTGTTTAATTTCCACATGCAATCTAAATCTCTACAATGATTGCAGAGAAGGGAGTGCAATCTCACAGTTAAAGTGAGACTGCCTAGGCTGCAGCAGCTTCCAATCTCCTAGAAATTTAGCAAATGGCTTCAGTTGTTAAAGGCAACTGATAATATTTAATTTGAAGACAATGACAGAGACATAAAGTAGCAACTAGTTCTTTCTACAGATAAAAACTGGCTTTGGGATATCAAAACGACTTTCCTAACATCAGCCTACCATTTCAGCCAAATGTAAATAAATAAAAAAAAAAAAGTAAATTCCTTTATGGGGATTAAACTGTGGGGAAATTCACTCTCTGCATTTGTCCCATCCCTTTGGGCAGAGGTGGGCTGCCATTGGGTGGTGCCCGGGGAGCAGTGTGGGGTTAAGGAACCCAGAGTGGAGGCTGTGGGGATCAAACCAGGTAATTGCAACCTTTTTAGAGCACAAGCGCATTGCTCTAACCCACTAGGCCAACAATCCCCATACGTGTCTGATCAAAGAAAACATTGTTTGCTGAATCAATATGGGAGTGAATCAAATAAGGTAGCTGTATTTTGTAGCTTGGAAATACTTCTGGAACTAGCATGTCATTCCATAGAACACTGTTTTGTCACTGTTTGGTCCTTAGGACTCACTGTTCTGCATGTTTTTGTTTCTCTCTGCCTCCATAAAACTTCACTTAAATAAACAGATGACTAGCAGGCCTCTGCAAGACTTGGTGGTTACTGATAAATGAATGCAATCATCTGATGCAGGTGTGCTTGAGCAGAGACACATTGAAGATTGCAGGGCAAGGGTCCTGAAAACCCAGTTTTAAAACCACTGCTGTAGAAAAACATGTTTGGACAAAATTTATATCACAATTAAGAAAAAAATTGAGCCACAACCATAACAATACATAGGACTTTTAGTGTGTTATTCTACTGCATTTTACAGCCACAAGATTTTCAATAAATAAGTAACATGGATCTGGGTTTATACTTTTTTGTTATGGTTGAATGTAGAACAGCATAAGACTTACCCATAAATACATTTCCTACCAGAATAGTTGTTAATACAAGTAATATAACTGTGTACGTTGTTTTCTGGGACCCACAGGTAAATTCATCAGGGCTATTTTTGTCATATAAAGATCAGCAGAAAAAAAAAACATTTATTACGTTAAATGAATATGTTGTAAAAGATGACCCTCCTGGCTCACACTACCTGAAAGCACTCATATGGGGCTGCAGCCGACTCTATTTCGTACTGTACTTTGTTATTAGTGTATTGATTGTTTTTAAGAGCCCAAGATAAAGCGGCCATTATTGGTCAGAATATAAAGCCTAGTTAAGTGTTTGCTCTGTCTTTTTTTAAATTATTCTCCCTGTACTATAGGGGTTTGCAGAAGCCGATGTTATTAGAGGCAACAAAAGGTTTTGCAATAACAGCGCTGCAAATCAAGTTTTGCTTTTAATTCATTTATTATGGGATCTGAAGGGGAAAATCAACCTGTTTTGAGTCAGATATTAGAATCTGTGATTAAAACAATATATTGAAAAATGCCAATTTTGTGAACCTGTGGCAAATGATCTGTCTTAATGGCTCATGGGAATAAACCTGCAAAGGAGAAATCATTAGAAATATATAATTATATACACATACAGTGGCCATTAAAGGAAATTTTTTACAATTGGAGTCAACAGTTGCTTATATAAGATCCTAATTGGAATAAATGAACTCCAATGCAAAGAAAATCCAAAATGCACCTCAGGTATATGCTCTTCAGCTGTGAGCAAATATGTATATGCTCACATCAACTAAAATATGAGTGTCATTAATTGTCAAATGAAAGTGATCAAACTGTTTTTAAAAGAACATGACAAACATTTTCTATTTGCACCAAAGTTAAATTAACAAAAATCTTTTATGGCATTTGGAGCAAGAAAGGTTACATAAAATTAATCTGAATCGAATGCTATTTGCTAAGCATGAATAGAGAGGAGTTTATGAAAGATAATATTAGCAAGGAGCTAGCACATCTAGAACGAGTAACATTCATACTCTAAAGTGAAGCAATCAGGCAGTTGCCTGAGCACCCAGCAGTCTGTGAGCGTCATCAGACACCAAAGATTATTTGTAGATATGTTAGACGATAAAAGCTACCAGCAGGAGACACAGCAAGATTACTGGTTTGCAATTTCATCTGTTGCTGCTATTAACATTTCAGGCAACGGCAGACACTAAATATGTCATGGTCACATTTTACTTCTGTATTAATGGAAACAACCCACCAAAAGTAGCAGCGCTGTATGGCAGAGATTGGCGTTCCCAATCCTTAACGGCCAGTGTCCTTTATCTTGTAGGTGTTTCCCTGCTGGCTTTTTTGATGTGGGTTATCAGCAGGATGCTGCTGATCTCGCAGTGTGAGTCAGGTGTTGTGGGGCAGGGACGCCTCAAGTACAAACAGAACACTGGATCTCAGGGACCAGAATGATTCACATCGGTTGGAGGAAGACACAGCAAATGGCTTTAAGTTACTGGTTGGTGCCTCACTGCATAACTTGACACAATCTTAGAGATCCTGCGTCATAATGTCCTTCCATCTGGAAAAATCACCGTATTAATTTGTTCAATAAAGTATTGCATAAGGTAGTCCTTCTAATCAGACCATCTGACCTATCTACAAACATCTGTAGAGTCGTAAACAAGAGTTAAACAAACCTAGCTGATATCCATCAGATCACAAAGCCTGTTACAACAGAAGCAGGACGTCTCAGGCAAAGACAACTATTTAACTCCGCTCTGCACTGCACCGCTGTAGGCATCTACTGTAGGTCTAAGGGGACCTAAAGATCCAGCTGACAAGGAGCCTAGAGTTTCCCTCTAACACTTACTTTGCTGTCTGTCTGATGTGATGCTGCAACCATTGCTATCCAGTTACATTACCTTTTAACAGTTTATTTTTGTCTCAACCTCTCCTTCTCACTTTCTTCCCACACTATAATGTCATCCAGTGAAAATGGAATATAAAAAGAATTGTGTATGGATTCTCATGACTCCTTCTATCATCAGGCTCACAAAGATATTTTCAAATTAATGTACTGTAACAATAAACAGGTAGCTATTTCATTCATGGCTACTTCAACTCCCAAATAGCTGAAATAAAATAGAATAGAATAGAATAGATAGAATAGAAAATCCCTTTATTGTCCCACAATGGGGAAATTGTGGTGTTACAGCAGCATTGATGGTTTATAGCAGAAGTGGTTACAAAAGGTGGACCTTAGAAAAGTGTTTAAAAATAAAAGAATAAGTGACAGAGTTAAACAATAAAATAAAATACTTCACTGTAAAGTGTTTTAACAATATAAATACTCCTTATCTGGAGAATAAATGATCAATAAACGGCTGTGGACATTTTTACAGAGATGGAAATGTGAAAAAAAGCAACACTAGATGTGCAAAAAAAATGAAAGCAGAATGTTATTTAACTGGCTAAGACAGAAACTGCAAAAAACTGGAAACAGTGATGATACTAAAGTCTTACAGCTGCTGGGAGGAAGGATTTCTGATAATGCGTCCTGCTGCATTTAGGGTGCAGCAGTCTGTCACTGAAGGAGCTCTCCAGTTCAACCGCAGCTTCATGCATGAGGCGGGAGACATTATCCAACAAGCAAAAGCAAGGTGTTCTCCCGGCTCACTTTATGTTGTCCTCCAATTTCTGTTTTGGATGGCGCCTCTTCAACAACAGCTGCTGCAAATAATCACTTTTAAGGCTCTTGGATGAATGTGCCTCACATTAAGAATGTATTCATCATTCCTTTAGCTTTAGTCTTTGTATTGGATCCAGTTTCATCAGCTAACCAAGTATCCTTATCTGCTGTTTTGCAGTTGTTGTCAGACTGATTGAAGAGATAAAGAGAATGGAATAAAGCCACCAGGGGAAAATCTATAGGCTATGAGGTAAGAATATGTTAAGCTATTTTGTAGTCAACAGCCACTCAATTAAAACCCTGTCTTCACCTTTTAAGATAAGGTTTATTTTGTCACATTAGCCTTTTCCCATCTGTGTGAGGTTCGGATATCCCCACGAACCTGTCCATTAGGAAACTGTGGCTATGTTATGTTTTTTTTCTGTCTTCCTAGCTGAATACAGATCAGAAAAATGTTTGTAAAAACAGTTTATAGAAAATCTTTCTATCGTTATTTTTCAGCTCTTCAATGTAAGTTAATGTCTAATATCAATAATGTAAAAAAAACAAAAATCACTGATGAGAAAATTAGTGGTTTCTATCATATTCATTTAATTTGCCTGCAACACTGAAACACATTTTTATGCCTCTGACTGAGGGGAACTTTGTCATCTGCTGATTTTTATCTGAGCTTTTCTTTTTTTCATGTCTATTTTTTTGGGCTTGTTTTTTTCTACTCAATCTAAAGAGGGAGGGGGTATTTGAGTGGGGGATTAAATCTCAGCTGTCATACAGATACATAAACAGTAATTGTCTTGATCCCTTGTCCGCACACATCTTTATCTCTGTCATCATTAGGCTTGTCGTAAGGCTACCTACGTCCCCTCAATCCCTCCATCTATTCATCCAGTGTAATTTAAAGCTCCTCCACTGACCTCAGCGGTAGCCGGCTCATCTTAAAGCCCAAGATTACACAACTGCCCATCTCCGTATCTCTACCACTTCATCTCTTGCTCTCTCTTTGCTAATCCAAGTATATTATCTCTCAGCTTTAACTGTTGTCCTACTGTCTAATTCTTTCCCCCTGCCGTCTGTTCCTCACATCCTCCACAGGACTCCTTTCTCCTTTCCTTCTCCTCTCTTTTTTTTCTTTTACTTTGTTCTAATTTCTTTTGCATTCAAGGTTTGAGATTGAGTTTATTGCTATGACAGGCGATCATCAGGGGAAGCTGCAGCATTTAATGGGTGCAAGCGCGCCACAAACATGCACGCTGGTTTGTGTCGTTCAGTGTGAGGCAGCTCAAGCAGCAGGGTCAGCACTCACAAACACACGCAGCCTCTTTCACAGCTGAGTGAGCATCCTGCTCCCTACGTGCTCCCCTTCTCTCTGACTGTGAAGGAGCAGGGAAGGAGAAAAAAATGTCTGGCTTGGACTTTAGCTGATAGTAACTAATGACTGCCTGATTAGTTCATTAGTCTGGCTCTTCATTTCCTGGCTGCTGGAGTCATAGCAGTTTACTTTTTTTACTGTAGACCAACTTCATGCACAAAAGCCACCCACAATCCTCCAGCTCTTTCTCTCTGGCTTTGTTTCTCTACATTGTATGATGTTTTGAGCAAAACGAGATGATGTTGTTTTGGATAACTTCCCAGACTGCTTGTTGAATTTTCTGCTTTTAGTTTTACCCATATCTCTGGTCTCAGCTGGCCAGATGCTGCGAACAGCTGAGCCTCACTTTCTCTGCTCGACATGAAGACCCAGCAAGAACTAAATAACCAGATTCCTTGTTTAGGAGGAGTAGTGAACATGATTACTTGTCACTCTCTGGATAAAAGTTCAGATTTGAATGAATAAAATAAAATACACCACATTTTGATTTCATCTACCAGTGAGTTTCCAACATCTTTGTTAGGGTTTGACAGAAACACTCACCTTGATCGCTGCCTTCCCCTAATTCTATCTCTGACAACATGATCCTGACAGTACATCTGTGAAGGGAACCAAACAATCTGTCATGAAAACGAGACGGAGACAGAGTGAGAATGGCAATCTGCAAGAAAACAGGGATATGACATGTGAATGAGATGCATGAATCAGATTTACCTCCGTCAGTTATTTATTCTCTAAAAGCCTTTACTGGGAAAAGGTTTATCTCTTTCATATAAAAATGCACTTGCAGTCTCTAAAATTATGTTATGTTGTGCAGCGGTGCTGCACCATAAATTACAACCATCAATGTGTGCAAAGCTCTATGTGCAAATACCTGCTTGGATGCGATATTCAGTGGATCCCTATTTTCTTTGCTGCCATCTAATAAAACTTGCCAAAAATATATTAGGCCATCTGGATAGACTTTCATTACTGTTAATGCTCATACCTGACACAGATCAAAGTATCCAAAGTTTAGCGCAAGATTTACAATCAACATCTATAAAATTATGTATCAATCTTCTAATTTCTGTTTAGTTTCATATTATAACTTTTGTTTTTATGTTCTGTTAATATATTAATTAACCAATTAAGCTATCTAAAGGTAGCCAGCCTGCACTCACTTGTTTTACAGTCAATTCACTTATTGGATGCCAACTGGGGTTTTAAGTGATGGTATCCTAATAGGAATTACAGGTCACCCTCCTTTATTTTCATTTTGGGTAACATTTTCAAACAGTTGAAGCCAACTTTATTGTATGCAAGAGGCAAATATAGATTCAGTCTTTCTGTCAGCTTACTACTAGCTTCACACATCAGCAGCAGAGGGAAGAGCGGTTTGGTGCCAATCTACATACCATATATTTAAAGGACTTCTAGGTATGTCTCAAAATGGGGCTTTGATTCACTTGGGTTTATATTTATGTCTCGGCCCATGCCTTGAACTTTTTTAGCAGCTGTCATCATGGATCAACTTTAAGCCTTTCAAAAGAGTGAAAAAAAAAAGTCTATTTAGGTTGTGTATAGTATTTGGTACACTACAATCTCAGGTTGATTTGATAAAATGTGCATTTAGTAATGTTAGGTTTAATTTAAAGACTTGTAATAAGATTTCCCCCAAATGCAGACAATATTTTGACAAGATGTTAAGAACTTTGTGCTAATCTTGTTTTCTCACGCAAATTAATATTGCTCAGATGACATTGGATGGTTTAAATAATCTTTACATAAAAAAACACATTAAATCAAATGAAATGTTTTCAACTTTTAGGTTAGTTCTACATGATAAACTAAGAAGGAGTACATTTTAAAGATCACAAGCTACACATATTTAAAGTATAATTAGAAAATACCCATGCAGTCATTCACATGGTGTTTTAGCCACAGACTGACAGAAGTGACTCTGCCATACAATCACTTTCCACTGTTCTTTGCTCGCAAACACTTTTTCAGTCTTGGCTACAAAATGTATATAGGGTCGAATTGAGTATTTGATGGAGACTCAACCATTAACTGTTTTGTAGTAGTTGTCTGTTGGAACAGGATTTCTGTGGATTATGAAGAGCACCATGCACCCATGCTTAAACCTCCTGAGATATGGTTGCAATATTTCCAATACAATCTTATTTCTGTATCATGTCATCAGTTTTGGTCAAAAGAACAAGTCCCCCCCTGCAGCAAAAGACACAGACATCATGATGCTACCATTACCGTACTTAACAATTGAGTTGTTGTTGCATGATCTGCATGCTTCTTTCCTATTCCTTCAAAATATATTGCTGGTCACTGAAGTGAGGTGAAGGCGAAAGGTTTGGCCATAATCACCCTTTTTTCCCATTAGACCAAGGGGCATGTTAATCCCCCTGTGTTTATGCTTTCTTTGATAAGATAAGATGGCAAGACTTTTTCAGACATCTGGACATTTTACCAAATGATAAGTTCCCTTCCGAATGTCTTTATTGTATTTTTTTCCTAATGATATGCAAATAACCTGTCACGTGAGACATTGCTTTAAAAAAACATTCAATACTTTTCACTCAAGTGCTTTAAGTGATGGTACTTACAAAGCATTATCATTTGTGCATCCCTTAATTGTTTTCATTTTTAGCAATAATATCTTCCTTTGATTGAGAAAAACACATTAAAGTGTCCGTCTGATTACTAGCATGTAACAAAATGAGATAATGTTGGCCATCCTGGCTAACCCATAGCAGGAGAGGATTTGACTTTGATATCAGACATGAAGGAAAACTGTTTGTGTTATGAAGACATCTGGATATAACTCTATGTTCAGGGTCTCTCACTGCTTGATTTACTGAAAGGAATCATATTGCCCTACTAGTTGACTGTTTATTAACAACCCCATGACTTTATCTGTACAGTAGTGAAACGTGGAAAGCAAACTGATGTTCAGAGTTCTACACAAGGCCAAGGAGTTTGAAGAGTGAGATGAAACAGAGAGAGGATGTCAAGCTACGTAGTTGGCTTGCTTTGTGCAGGAAAGCGAAGCTGCCTAAATGGATGTGGAGAGTGAGAGATGATTGAGAAGAGCAGTGGGAGATGGAGTGGAAGGCCAGATGAAAGACAGAGTAGTAGCGGAGGGGGAGGGTTTCCTAAATGAGAACAGTAACCTGTGGAGGGTGATAAGAGCCGGCAGATGGGTAGAGCGATAAATAGGCAGATGGGTGGTTAGATAGATGAAGGGGGCTGATTTGCTGAGATGGAGAGGATGGGAGTTAAGATAGGGAGATGGGTTAAAGAGATACAGCATACGGGCCAAACTTTCTTCCTGTGCAATCACTTTAGGGCTGACTGTTGTTTTTTTCCTTGTTGGCTGCTCTTTCTATACTCTTACTTTTGGCCTCTGTTTCCTCCCCCTTTGCTCACCCCTTGTCGTTTTCCTCCCTGGTTTCGCCTCAGCCACCGCCGCACTCATGGGATATTTTTAATAGAATTAGGCTGCTCTTGTTATCGGTAGAGTGGGTAGCCGCGGAGTGAGGCGAGATTGAAACAGCGATTTCCAATTTGAGATTGTGTCACACACATCCAGAGATAGCATCAACGAATCACCGCCACCATCCCTCTCCCTCTCTCTGTCCCGTCTTTTTTGGCTCATTCGTTGTCTCACCCGGATATTTTAGCTGTGCTCTGGCCGCCTTCCCCGCATGCAGGGCTACATCCTAATGCATCCGTGCTCGCTCTCTGTCGTACCGGATTCCCTGGCTCCCCTTGACAGTTTATGTCCCTGTCTCCCTCGCTCTCATCTGGGCCCCATGCAGAACACATCCCTCTTTCTTCTCCTGGGCTCTCGCTCACTTAATGCCTCCAAATGCAGCTTCTTA